TCACTCATAGTTATAGCAAACTATTTTGAAAAACAAAACAAAATGGTGTGGTCACTATAATCTAGGCGACAGCGTTTTGAATCAAAATACCATGCATGGGCCTATAGATATTGCATTTATCGTTCACTGGTTAATTAAAATATGACTTTTTCTGACCACTGTACACCCAAATATTGTTTAGAGCAAATGTGGTAGCTGGAATTTATTTTCTAAAAACCATTATTTGCAATGATACATATAATTTATTTCTAGTTAATTTATCATTATAAAGTCCACGTAAACCAATTTAAAGAAAAAAAATTATTTTCACTGGTATTCATTTTTGGTATGTTTAGGACATATGCAAATGAGCTTTGTGATGAAGAGAGAACATGCACATTTGCATATATTCTCAAAACAGAATACTTGTCTTCGAGAGGTTACATAGTTTTATGTGAACGGACACTTGTGCACGTAAAGTGTGCAGGTCCACTGAATTAATGCCTGCGCGTTGATTGACAAATTTCGGTTAATTTGCCACTATTGTGCCTTGTAACGAAAAGTTGTTGTGTAGATCGTTTTGACGAGGGGAACAGTATGGAACGCGCTGTAATATGGCATTCTTTGATGCCAGTGTAGGAAGGCATGGTACGCGTAACCTTATTTAATCGGTTCCAATGCAGACAGTTTTCGTTATTGGGCACGTCATTTGTTCATATATGTGGATTCCGACAATTGGTAGTGTGTAAGCACATAACTCGCCACTCGGACAACTTCCCTTTGTCGGAACATTGGAGGAGACAGCAGACAGTTTTAACTGTTTCTTAATAAGGGTACGAGTGCCAAATTTGGGGCTGGGGCCCTGGTTGTTAAATTCAGTTGAGCATGGAGAGATTGTACTATGCTATAGATGCGAAAGCTGTCTGGCGCCAAGTCGGCAAAACAATGGTGACATCCACACAATAGCTGTGCAATTAATTGGTGAGATGAACGGTGGAAAAGGTGGAGTGTTCTGAACCACCTTTTTTGTTCAGACTCACTGGTTACACAGCCATCATGTAAGTCTGTGAACACCATTTTTTTCCTCTCTCAGTTTCAGTAATCACTTTAATAATCATAAGTACATGTATATCTCTAGATGTAATTTGATGGGCATGTATTTTTTGTCTGCTCTGGTCCTGTGTGTGTGTGTGTTTTGTTGTTTCCTCAAGGATTTCTAATGGCCCAAGTATTTGACGCACACTGAATTTTAATACTGTGGTAATGTTTAATCATTGAAGTCTTTTATTTTGATGATCTAGACTTACATGTGTGTTAGAGAAGTGCTGGTTTGATACATGTATGTGTAAATATATCATACATGCACATTGCATTCTTGAGGCATGGTACAGTGTATTAATGGCTGGTCTTACTTCTACACACATGTGTGGCTTTGTTTCGGATGCATACTGCGATGCATGCATTCATCCTCAATGATATGAAAACAAATACTGAAATCTTTGCCTCTTCCAATTTCCCGTTAAAATAATTTCTAATAATAATAAGTTTGTCCCAGATAATTCCCCATCCCAAAACAATTGTACATCTAACAATAGGGTTTATTGTCATAACTACACATATTTCAATGTTCTACAGTCATTAAACATTGCCTTCCAACATCGTTGTTTACGTTAACTTTTTTGAGTTGAGTTTCTGACAGTGTAATCTGTGATAACTAATCACACAGAGTTGTGATGTCACTGTAGTGGGCCTTTACCCTAAACTTATTTAATTTGTATTGGTTGATTGGTTAGATTGTTAGATGTCCCTGGGTCATCTTCCTTTCAGTCTTGCATACCTTTATTCCCACTGCACTTGCATGCTGGAGTAATGTATATGCTGGGGCTGGGCTTCAACTATTATCCCTTGTCAATCGTGAATAGCATTTCGATTTTGCTATAAATTACGTTTAGCAATCTATCGGTAAGACCGATTTCAAACCATGAAATACATGTAGTCATCATTTAAAATTATGTCATCGACCACAGAAAAGTTTAAATTAATAAACATTAGACAAACAATGTGTAAATACAAAAAGTACATTACTGTAGTATATTTATTAATAGTACATTTCCTGATCTCTGCCAGAACTTACATGTATGTACCTATAATACATGTACTTAAATGGATTTATTTTTGATTTATTCTGTATTTTCAATTAATATGATATCGTAAAATCGTAAGCAAGGATGTGTTCAAATACATGTACAAAATGTCCCTGGGCATGGACTTTTTAGATTTAATTCAAATCTTGTCTCGTACATGTATTGACCCCTCGGAACTGATATAGACACTACTCCAACATTTTTATTTGAATAGGATTCATGTCAGTCAAGCAGGGATTTTCAAGGCATATGCTTTTAAAAAACCCTTCACACGCCAGAGTTAACATTGGTTTCAAAAAATAAAACCACATCATTTTTTTTATTATTTTTTTCATAAATGTTGATCATAATTAGTAGCCAGTGACATTTTTTGTTTTGTTTTTGTGATATATTTGAAGTTTATTGAAAAATGTTGGAACAAAATTTTGCTGAAAGCAAAAAATTTAGATTTTGAGAATTAAAAAAAAATCTGTACTTGAAATTAACATAAAAGTTTTGAAAAAGGCAGTAACCAGTGTCCAAGTTTATAGTAGTGTGTGAGGCCATCACTTGTCGCCAATAAACACATGAAAGCATAGCTCATTCATTGTCACATTGTCCGTGGCTCCAGCAGCAACACTGCTTGCCCATGCGTGGATAGCGAGCATGCAAAGCTCTACTTTCTGAATAAATGAAACAGATTTATTAGGACTTTAGGGGTCAGTCGTCTTTTCAACCTTAAAAGAACACCACATTATACGTGTGGACTGTCCTATTACTCATCGACCATAATGAAATAGACGAACAAGCCTAGGGTTAAAGGTCGAGTGATAAATGACGAAAACAAGAGGCGGACATGACTGTTTAGTTTTAATAAGCTTTGCAATTATACAAAAGTTAGTTTTTTCCCGCTTGTTTGTTGATTTTGCTAAGTCTAGTTTCTTTATCCTTGGAGTGTATTCATTTCTAGTCGTTCTTTGTGTTATCACTGCGAGCGAGAGTTTTGATAGCTGTTTTATTATGTCTGTATATAGAATCGATGGGAAATGATTTACAGGTACATTGTATACAACAAAGTCAGAGAATTCTCTTTCAGACCCCCCCCCCCCCCCATCCCACTATCTTTCTTAGAAGGTTTTCATGATTTCTGTAACTTCAAGTGCCTATGATCCATATCGTTGTCTATGTTCATTACATTCAGTTCTGTGAATACTGTCGTTGTGTGGTTTTAATACTTAATGTATGGGTTAAAAAATAGATGTACCAGACCAGAATGCCATGAGCAGAACATCACTGCCATGACTACAGTGTATCACTGCTCTTACTCCACCTGTCCCACTGCCATGACTAGTGTATCACTGCTCTGACTCCACCTGTCCCACTGCCATGACTACAGTGTATCACTGCTCTGACTCCACCTGACCCACTGCCATGACTGCAGTGTATCACTGCTCTGACTCCACCTGACCCACTGCCATGACTACAGTGTATCACTGCTCTGACTCCACCTGTCCCACTGCCATGACTAGTGTATCACTGCTCTGACTCCACCTGACCCACTGCCATGACTACAGTGTATCACTGCTCTGACTCCACCTGACTCACTGCCATGACTACAGTGTATCACTGCTCTGACTCCACCTGACCCACTGCCATGACTAGTGTATCACTGCTCTGACTCCACCTGACCCACTGCCATGACTGCAGTGTATCACTGCTCTGACTCCACCTGTCCCACTGCCATGACTAGTCTATCACTGCTCTGACTCCACCTGTCCCACTGCCATGACTAGTGTATCACTGCTCTGACTCCACCTGTCCCACTGCCATGACTACAGTGTATCACTGCTCTGACTCCACCTGTCCCACTGCCATAACTAGTGTATCACTGCTCAGACTCCACTTGTCCCACTGCCATGACTACAGTGTATCACTGCTTAGACTCTACCTGACCCACTGCCATGACTACAGTGCATCACTGCTCTGACTCCACCTGTCCCACTGACATAACTACAGTGTACCGCTGCTCTGACTCCACCTGACCCACTGCCATGACAACTTCTAAAACCACTGCCATGATCACAACCACCACTACTAAAAGATGGCATCTAGACTGGCGCAGTCGGGGCGATTAATTTGTTTTTGTAGTTTAAATAAAATAAAAAATTTCGCGAAATGGAGGTGTTAGCGCGAAATCCCCTGTAACTGCGAAATCACCCCGATTGGTTTATTCCTCATGGCCCTCTATCGAAACTGCAGGAACCCGTCGATTTTTCAACGGGTAATTATGTTAATGAGTGTTCTAACTGACAATCATCTAAGCCAATCACAACATCTCTTCAACTGACCTCTGACCGAGAAGATGTCGGCTAATTGTAGCAGCCGATTTTGACTAGTATGAGTTACTTTATTACACATTGTGATGAATTAGAAATGGCGACGACAAACTCGAATTTCAACGTGTGCTATGTTGGGTCTGCAGTGTGACCTTTACCATGTTGACCTCATTATGCATGTATTTCCACGCCCACCTCATTATAATAAGTGCATTCATAAATATTTAATAACAATGAATTTCCTGCAGAATAAACCAGTCGGGGTGATTTCGCACTAACCCCTTCATTTTTTTAAATTTTATTTGAACTGCAAAAACAAATTAATCGCCCCGACTGTGCCAGTCTAGATGGCATCCTACATGTACATTGTAGCTCTTCACTGCAGTCAAAGATTTGTAATTACTATAAACAAAATTTGTCAGCCTGCTTGACTACATTTTCTACCGGTTTTAAAAGCTGCAGTTGATAGACTTTCATTTAATTCCATCACATTTTATTTCTTGGAATATGAATATTATTTCCTAGAATGTGAATATTAATTATTTCTGTTCTTTGTTTTTAGCTTGGTGAGAGTCAAGACACCAGCAGTAGTGAAACCGGTAGTCGGCATTCCAGTTCCGCGGAAATCTACGGTGGGGATACCATCAGTAACGAGGATAAAAAAGCGATATTTCTTGACAAAGTCAAACAGAGCAATGAGGCATGTCAGAACGGTGATTTTCAAAAAGCGACACGTCTCTATACAGAAACTATATCGCTCGATCCAACCAATCATGTGTTGTACAGCAATCGATCGGCGGCCTTCATCAAAATGCAGCAATATGAGAAAGCATTGCAGGATGCTGTCACAGCAAAAGAACTGTGCCCAAAGTGGGCTAAGGTAAGCAACTGTTATGAAAAAATCACTACCCTACTACCCTGAGAATATTTTAAGAGAGAGTTAAATAATATTTAACCTTTTCTTCTGCCACATTTGCATATATTTACATGTTTTTGCTTATATTTACATGTATTTACATATATCTGCATATATTTACATGTAATTAGCATATATTTACATGTATTTGCACATATTTACATATATTTGCACATATTT